CAAAGGCAGAGAGAGAGCCTGTGAGCGAAAATTGAGAGGTCAAGAGAGAAGGAAAGGCAGACAGAATGAGCTCAAGCCCAGTCAGGTACCATCAGAGCCAGAGAAGGAAGAACTGGGCAAAAACTTAGGAAACAAAGGCAGCCGACAGAAGCAGAGCCAGAGAAATGGAAAGCAAGAAAGAAGAGACAGACAGATAACAACAGGCTGTTGGAAAGAGAAAGGGGAATAGATGGATTCACAGTGAAGAAGGAGACTGGTTCAGGCAGATGTGCATGCTCACATAGACATGGAGAGGGATGGAGGCAGCATCAGCCAGCCCGGCAGGAAGTGCACACCAGCCTGGCCTCCCATCTGGAGCTCCCAGGCAGCAAGGCTAGAAATGGGTGTGGCTGGCAACTCCCCAGGAGGACCGGGGACCCTGCTGTCCCGAGCTTGTACTCCTTCAGGGAAGGTGGTGTGGGCAAGTCCCCCCAGCCTCAGGGGGCCACTTCTGTGTGGCAGTAGCTCAGCGGTTCTAGGCGGCACACTCTCCACAGACACCCCAAGGCCAGAGAGAAAGCCCTGAGCTCCTGTGTGTCTCACTCCCCAAGGACTTTCAGACTGTGCCTTTCCCTGAGCTCAAGTCAGGCTGGGGAGGTGGTCGTGGGGGCCTGTGTGCTGGGCTCACACGGGGCCCTGGGGCAGGTCTTTTCTCAGTGGCTCCTCCTCCAGGAAAACAAATGAGGTGCCCTGGGAGATTTGGATGACAGAGACCATGAAATTGTCCTGACCCAATGCCAGGACATGCCTAGGACTACTATACCCATTAGGTGCTATAGGCACAGGGTTCTGGAGCTTTCAGAGTCTATGGACATGTTAGAGACTTGAAAGAAAAAATTTTAGGCTCAAAAATAGGAATCATTCAATGTGCTAACACTTTCCCTTGTTAGGTGGTTAAACAACCTTGAAATTACAGTTTTTCACACAAACTCTAAAAGTTACCTACTCTAAATAAATTACAGTGGTTTTAGAGTTGCTATAGTTTGGATCATCTATTTGTTCCCTGGACTCAGCCCCATCTCTTTTGTAGAAATTCTCATTTTTTTAAACCTAAAGTAAAGCGCGTAAACTGACAATGGAATATAAATGATTCTGTATAATTTTCTCATTTTTTTTTCTCGAGATTATATGGATTTCTGAAAATTAAACTTTCTGAAATAAAATGATTCTCAATCTATTAAAACTAGGCATCATGAAAAATGAAAAATAAATATTAGAAATGTTAAGTGACTATTAAACATAACCTTTTGTCAGTAAACTCTAATACATTAAACTTCTGCATGGTTATACATCAATTAGAGTGAATGTGGGACATGGATACATTTTAATATGTATCTTATACAGTATGGTACCTTCGTAAGTCTTAAGCTCCCCATGGCCTCTTGGATCTCAGCTCTCTGAGAGCGTGTTTTGGAATTTCGATCCCTCCATGAGGGCCTTTCTCTTCCACATGAAGAGCATAGGAAGAGAGAAGGAGCCAGAAATGTGATAGAGAAGATTCAAGGCAGACAACAGGACTCCTGTCTTGGCATTCTGAGTCAGCACAGACAGCCGGGACCAGTGTGGGGCCTCACTTTTGGTATCTTTGCCCTGAGGGGAGGGAGGTGTTCAGTTCTTGCAGGAGAACCAAACCAAACCAAACACCAACGTTATGCTCCATATGCTTTTCTGAGCCTGAGAAATTAACTGGTTCATGGAGACCCAGGGATCCTCTGGGGAACCAGAGTTACACATGGAACGTGGCCAACATCTTACTTTAGGAGCCAGGCTAGGGCATCGCAGGAAATCTAGGGCCACACAGGGGACCTGGGAGCTGCTGATTTGAGTTGAGCCCAGGAGCTCAGCTCTGGTACATGAGGGTTCCTTTGGGTGTCCTGTTTCCTATGCACCTGTTCTACTCACTTGGACACTCCTGTGGCTGCCCTGAGGCCTGGACACCCACTCAGTGGCGGTCTTTCTCCTGTTCCATGTTGTTCTGATCCTGACCCAGGGTGGGGCCCAATGAAGCACCAATTCACCATGGGGACTTGAGGATTTGGTGGTGTCCATATCCAGCTATGTCTGAACCAGGATCTCTTGAAGACCCTCAGAGTTGGAGGCCTTTGCCTGCCCTACAGGGCAGCTCTCACTCTAGTAACCTCCTCATACCTTAACAGGCTGGCTAGTTTCTGTTCCAACATTGCTCTGCTACCACCTGAACCCCCCGACCCCGGCTGCCCAGTCCCAAGCACTCGGTGTCTCTAGGTCCGTGACTCATCTGCCTTTCAAACTGTGGGGCCTGAATTCATCATGCAGGTGCTGTAGGCCAAGTGTCCATGTGGCTGACAGCCATTTTTCTAATCAGCAGCCCCAACTGCTCCTTTATTTCTCAGGAACATCCAGTAATTTCCATCTGCAGAATTCAACCTTAGCTCTTCTGTCTGGCAGCCAGTGCTGACTCATGTCCAGCTTTGTAGGCTTCACCTGCTCTGCGGCTCTTTGACTCCTACCTTGAACTCTGGGTAGCCAGACCCACCTGTAGATGCCCCCTTCGTGCTGCTCCCTTGACCTGAACTGCCCTCCCTCAGCTTCCTGTGCACGCCTCTGTACCCACCCCAATGCTCCCTCCTGCTAGAAGCCTGTTTAGACAGCTGACCTTCCTTTGCAGTCACCTGTTGCCATGCTCTGCACAGCTTCTCCCTAGCACTCCTGCCTCCTGACTGGCTTTTTATTCAGGAGAACTCTCCAGTATCATATATATATATATATATCATTGGTCCTCTCTGTGTCATGGTTTCCGGGATCAGGTGACAGTCAACACTCGTTGGTGCAAATTGTGCCAGATATTCCTGGCTACCAGATACTAAAAGTGAACAAGACTTGGTCCCTGATTCTGCTGAGGTTGAGCAGCACGGATAAATGTCCAAAAACTTACTGTGAAGTGACTAAAATAATAACTTATTAAATACTTACTGAATAATTCAACACCCAATATGGAAATATCTACATTGTTTAAGATTTTATATATACTTAAAAACATTAATAAATGCAATTAAAAAATTTAAACTTGAAAGCACAGACACTAGAATTAGCTCTACGTCTAGGGTAATGGATGATTTTTTTTCCTTTTTGCTTCTGTTTCATCTCATTTAAAAATTAAACAAGTACTACTCCTGTAACAAAGAAAACTACTCACTGAAGATATTTTTCGTGCATGTAACTGAGAAAATATCTAAGTCAAAATGTATAATAGATCACAAATCAAGAAAAAGAGCAGACAACCCTTGCTATTTGTTACTCATTATGATAAGCCCTTTATATTTATTATCTTACTTAATTCTTCTGACAGCCCTGGGAGGAACATACTTCCTCCATTTACAGATGAGGACACCAAGGCACATAAAGTTTAGGTAACTTGCCTGTTCTCACTGAGTTAATAAAGGATTGAGCTAGCCTTGCACCCTGAGTTCTGATTCCAGAGCTTGCTACGTTGTGCAATCCTGTCAATAACCTTAGGAAAAGATATTAGCACACTAGCAGTTAGGAAACTGCAAATGGAACAGAAAGCATCGCTACCACTTCTCACCTATAAAATGGAGAGAAATATTGGGGTGTTTGATACAGGTGAAGACTAGCAGGTGCTGGGGAGGGTGGGAAGCGTAGAGTGGTATAACTACTCAAAAGCATAACTCAAGGGTCTGTAGTTAATGTTGACGGTTTGGATTCTACAATCTGCAAGGTTTACTTCTAACCATAAATCCCAGGAAAATATTTATATATGGAGAAATGCCCAAAGACATGTTTTGAAAAAACAAACAGAAAGAAATGTTAAATGAAAGGGAATTAATAAAATGTGGTATATGCAGATTCTTGTTAAAAAGGAGTTGGATCTATACTTATCAAACGAGTAGATGTCAGAGTCAAGAGGTTGAGTCAAATACTTTTTACATGATACCATGGTAAAATGTAAATGCCTACAAGAACAATTCTATGTATTGCACATGGACATAATATATGCAAGCAAATGTTGAAAATAGATTTCATAGATTTCAGTTTATTGAAAGAGATCAAATCTGGCAAGTTGGAAGTATTTAAAAGGCATTTTAACTCTAGCAGCTAATCATTGTAAAAAACAAACAAGAATTGGACAGCATATAGCAAAATCTTTCCAAGTATATATTTGGAATGCCAGGAAATGGAGTCTTTATTATATTATTTTCTATTATCTCTCTGCTTCGGTATAACTGCTCTTTCTCTGTTTCACACTGTTAATATATGTCTATAGATATATAGTGTAGATATTTAGATACATGGATAATAATACATATGTGTTTTACATATTTCTTTTTGAAATATATGTTTCCTCAAAATAAAGATGAGATTTTAAATGTAAGTTATGAAGTGAGGATGTGAGTCATTTTTAAAAACTGAGCCAAAACTAGACCAACTATTAGCCATATTTGTACACAGATATGCTTATAATAAATCAAGCTTAGATATTAAAGCACCTACTACAAAAAGCAATGCTAGAAATTATCTACATGTGCTTTTCACACAGTGATACACAATGTTGTACCTGAACAATTTGCCTATTCTTTATGTCACTCTCATTGCAAATTCCATTATACTGTAGAAAAGGATGTACGCACGCTAAACATTGGGCTATGATCATGTTAAACTGCCATAAAAGTCCAGTGTAAGGAGACAACTAGAAACAATAATAAAACGGTGGCCATGAACCACAAGACAGTTTTTGTAAAGAAATCCTTTGCTTTCAATACTTAACTGAGTCTTTGGGTAGTGGCAGCTGAAAATTTTCTAAGCAACGCCTTAGACCTTCAGGTCAGGGTTGGCCACACATTCTTCTAGCTGCCCCAAACTCGAGAGAGACTCAGGGTAGTCAGAACAAATGTATCTCCATGATGCCAAATGAGCTTATTCTAGTCCTCCCATGACCGGAGACAAGTCTGGGGCATCCTGGGTCATGAAGCTGTCCCTCTGTTTCCAAGTACCCTCAGAAAGGCCCCCTTTACATCCCTGTTCCTGAGGCTGTAGATGATGGGGTTGAGGAAGGCCGAGATGACATTATAGAACAGGGCCAGCTTCTTGTCCCGCTCCGGGTCACACCAGGAGCTAGGCCTCATATACATGATCATGGCTGGACCATAGAACATGGTGACCACGGTGATGTGGGAGGCACATGTAGAGAAGGACTTGAGCCTCCCCTGGGATGAGCGAATTCCTAAGATGGAGGCAAATATGCAGGTGTAGGATGCTAAGATGAGGGAGAGTGGGACCAAAAGCAGGATGAAGCCCAACATGAAGTTCAGCTGGTCATTGAAGAATGTGTCTGCACAGGCCAACTTCAGAACAGCAGGGACCTCACAGAAGAAGTGGTTGATTTTGTGGGGTCCACAGTAGGGCAGATGCATGGTGAAGACTGTGTAGATCAGAGCCCCAGTGATGCTAATGGACCAACAGACAGTGACCATCTTGATACACATGATACGGCTCATGAGTAGGGAATAACGAAGGGGGAAGCAAATGGCAATATACCTGTCATAGGCCATGATGGCATAAAGAATACACTCAGCAATGCCCAGGACCAAGAAGATGAACATCTGGGATACACAAGCATCCCAGGAGATGGCTCTCCTTGGATACCATATATTTACCAGCATCTGAGGAACAGTGGTAGTGACATAGCTCATGTCTACCAAAGAGAGGACACTGAGAAGGAAATACATGGGCGTGTGGAGATGTGAGTCAAGGTAGATTAGGGTGACGATGAGCCCATTGCCCACAAGGGTTGTAAGGTAGAGGAGGAGGAAGAAGACGAACAGGGCCATTCTGACCTGTGGCTCACTGGAGAAACCAAGGAGGATAAACTCAGAAACTGAAGTGTGGTTTTCCTTGTCAAAGCTCTGCATGGTGATCTGCCTGTTAAGGAGAGACGAGCACTTCCTTGTTCAGTCATTTGCCTTGGGGATGTGAGGTCAGGAATGATAGAAGCCGAATCACATGCAACACCATGCACAGTAGCTTCACAGATTTAGTCAAATCTTGGTTGAGCTGGATGAGAAGGGAAAGGAAGCTAGGATAGCTGTGGCACTGGGAAAGAAGCCAAAAGATCTTTATTCTACCTGTAACAGAACACAGGAGACCTGATAGTTCAGAAGACCTTCTCTGCAAACAATACTAATCCATAGAAGATAAAGCCATATTTAGGTGTCCTTTTTTTTTTTTTTTTTTTAATGTTTTGCACAGGGTCTCCTTGTGTAGTTCAGGCTGATCCTCCTGCCTCGGCCTCCTGAGTGCTGGGATTACAGTTGTGCCCCACTGTGCCCAGCGTAGGTGACCATTTTTGCACAGTGAATTCAACCACTTTCTGGGCACTTCCTTTTTCTACTAAGTATCCGCAATGACCCCAATTTGTAGTAGGCAGATGCGTCTGCCTAGAATTCAAATTATGAAAGGAACGTCTGTGTCAGTAGGTTGTGGGTACTTTGGAAACTATCACCCAGACCTAGTGTGGCAGCAAACCTGTTGTAAGAGGGCTGAAGATCTAGAGGAGACTATTAGAGGTCTTACAAAAATGATAAATGACAATGGAAAGAATTTGACCCAAATGCTCATGAAGTACATTAATTTAGGAACTAAGATAATTCAGGACTTGATTAGCTAGGTTGTACTGGATATGTCTGCTGTTTTTGGTACTGGGGATCAAACTCAGGACCTTGCACTTGCGAGGCAGGCGGTGGCACCCCTGAGCTAAATCCCCAGCCTGGATATGTCTGAATAAATTAAGAAATCAGGCAAATTAATTCTCGTCACACTTACTATCAGAATGTCCACCAGAGTAAAATATGTTTTTAGCATATAAGAAATGACTTTAGATATTAACAATGGTAGTCACTTTATTATGATCTTGGTACAGCAACAATTTATTCACCTAATAAAAATTACAGCCTGAAATGAAAATGAAAATGATAAATAAAGTAAGACAGACAGGCTGGAAAGCAGAGGGGAAAGACTCTGTAGCCCCAAGTACCTGAAACAGGGGCCCTAGGACCTGGCTTGCTGTGCTGAGCCCTGAGGCCTGTCTGAGCTTTATATACTGAATCAAGGGGTGGGGACATTGTGTGGAATCCTCTCAGCCAACTTTTTATTTCAGCCTTCCCTGAGAGTCTCATGGCTGTCACTCAGATGTGACCTTGAGCAAGAGCCCTCACTTCTGTTAACTTTCACCTTTTGATCTGTTAAAGCAGAGGTGCTATGTCCATGACATGGGGTTATGGCAGGGTAAGTGTGGGCTCCTGTATGTCAAGATACTTTGCAAACTATAAAACACAAGGCAAATAAAAGAGGTTAGTGAAAATGCAATGAATCTCAAAATCAGGACAATTGGGGAATGCCGTTTTTGTCCTTGATTTGTTTAGTGATCTTGGAAAACTCCATATCCTTCTCTGAGCTTCAGAGCCCCATTTTGATACTTTGGATTTGATGCCCCTCAAGGCCCCTTGTCGCTCTGATATGTTTTGGTATTGGGCAAACATGCTGGAAACCTGTGACCACGTCAAGGGAAGGGCTGAGCTGTACAGTTAGTTGAGCATGACTGTGTGGGCATGAGATTCATTATGGAGGTTGGGGACATGAGCCCAGAGCCTTGGTAAATATATAGAGCGTGGACATGGAGTCAACGCACCTGAGTCTAGCTGCCTGTTTCTCTATTTTCAAACCACGTAGCTATGCAGAGTGCCTTGTTTTTTTATCTATAAAATGGGTGTACCATCTCCTCTGTAGTGGAGGCTGCACGAATTCCATCTGCTTCCTAGAAAGTACTGAATAAAAGGTGGCAGCTTAAAGGATAGGAAGCTGCATGGGAGGAGGAGTGGAGAGAGGAGAAAAGAGTGCAGTAGTATTCTTAAATTTCTGAGGTTGCCAAGCGGGGCTGAAAACCTGATCATTAGCACTAATGGCCAAGAGTTGACGGTGAAAGTCGGAGGATTAAACAGGTGTCCGAATGGACAAGGGAAATGGTATATGATGTGTGTTCTGAGTTTTAGAGAACATCAACTATTCGAAAAAGGAGCAAAATGTCACAGGCGAGGGATGCTTGTGGTGATAATTAGGGACCTGGCCCAGGTCAGAGCCATGAGCATTGAGAGGGATTTTCAAGAGACAAGAACTAGGAAGTAGTTCAAATGCCAGTCTCAGACAATCAGGGCCGAAACCAAGCAGCAACCCATCATCCTTCCTGTCCAGCTACACTCCACGCCTGGGACCTGTGCAGAGAATTCCCATCGGCCTTTCGGTTCACTTACCAGTCCATGCAGTTTCATTTATCACACTGTGTTTCACAACTTCTTGAGGAACTCAAGGACCTCCCTGACAGGTTCTAATCAGTTTTCAAGCAGTCACGAGTGAGCTTTCTGTGCCATGATGCTAACATCACCCTAGTCAGGGCAGCTGGGTTCTCTCCTCTTGGAGCCTCAGATCTTCCGAATCAGCTGGCTTCCTCAGCATCTGCCATGCACGCTCACCACCTCTGCTCCAGCTGCTCCTCTACTGGGACGTCTGCCCTATCCTTGCTCCCTCAAGTCCCACCGACCTTTAAGGCCTTCGAGGGTTTCCTTACCTGACCAGTCCAGCCTTGTTTACGTGTGCATTGCCTTCCCAGCCAAGTGTATGCAAAGTTTCCTTGCTGCTTCCCTTCCTCCATGCTTCTGGCAGAGAAGGAAGGAGAGCCCCTCTCAGGGCTCCCTCTGCAAAGCCTCAAGACATAGGCTGGGAGTGCAGAGGTGGGAGGGTGCCCCTAAGAGGGATCTACACAAGTGGAGAGACAGCCGTAGGAGGAGCAGGAGATTGACTTCTGCCCAAGAAGCGCAGGTTATTGTTCTTTCTGCTGCAGTTTTGAGGCAAAGACACTTTGTCAGTTCTTGGGTGCCCAGAGCAGAAAACTCCTCCAGCCACTCCCTCAGTCACACCTACAAATGATCAGCTTGTTCCTCTGCCTCCATAGTGTTCTTCACCTCTATAGTATCAGCTGTCTATTTCCCCTTGGCGTGGTGCCTTAGGAAGGTGCCCATCCTATGGCCCTAAAGGGGAGACGTGCACCATCTTAAGTGCGCTGGACCCAGAGCAGCCCCAAAGGGAGGAGGCTCCAGCAGGCAGACCCAGGGGTTCACTTTTTATCAGGATGGAGTTAGCAAATGAATTTCTAGTACCAAAAAGCCCTGGGGATTCCTTGGCCATGCTGGGAATTGCAAAACAGTGCCCCTGGGCTGGATGAATGACATAGCCTGGATGTCTAATGCTCTTAAGACTTGTTGGACTTGGCCTTTGGAATGGAGGAGCTGGACATTCTTTGAAAGTTTCCATTTTGGAGACTAGAATTTCTTTCCGTTCAGTCTTAGAGAAAAGAGGTACCTTCTACCCAAGCTGCCATATCCCTGTTTAACACAGTGATGATGCTAACTAACCCTCTTTCTTTCCGAAGTACTTGTGAGAGCCTCTTACATCCTCAGACATCTTATCCAAGGCCACAGACCTGATAAGGGTGAAACAATACATAGATAAATCCTAGCAGTAATAATGCTACCAGTCGTTTCAAAACTTTCATTTATTGAAAATCTTCTGTTTGCCTCAGGTATATGTCCAAGACCATATACTAGTTTGTGGTGATAATACTGCCAAAACTTAGTGCCTACTAATCAATGCAGAAAATAAAAGATAGACACAGAAAATAAAAAGGCAGATTGGTGTTGAATGCCGATTCTACAACTTTCATAGTCCATATTATCCTGTACAAATCACTTTCCCCTCTGGGAAACTCATTTTCATCATGCTTAGGTCAGAAAATAATGCTGTTTGTGTTAAGAAGGAACATGTACAGTCTTAGCACAGGTTTCGCAGAAGGGCCCAGCCACTGGTAGAACCTATGTTGACAGCAAGGAATGAGCCGCTGTCATGAGTCTGTCCCCTGGTTCTTCACCAGTGTAATCCCAGCACTCTGGCAGGCCAAGGCAGGAAGATCTCGCATTTGAGTACAGTCTAAGCAATTTAGTAAAACATTGTCTCAAAACAAAGCAAGAATGAGAGCTCACATCTATGGACTCCCTATTTTTTTCCATTGAGTTTATTGGTACATTTAAGGTAAACAATACAGTTGCATTCGTCATTGGGATCTTGTCCCTTTACATGATACATCTTGGTTCTTTTTTCCCCATTCCCCTGCCCTCCCTTCACCCCCCTAGCCCTTCTCCATTTACAAAGACTTTGTTTCCATTTTTTCCTTTTCTCATATGTTTCCTTTTCCCTTATTTCCTTTCTCTTCCCCGCCCCACTTCCCCTCCTTCTTTAGCCCTTTTATGGAGTCCCCATTATGTGCTGTGTCCTATGGTAAGAGCCTTACATCAGTTAACTCATAACTGCTGACCCTGCTGCTCCATGGGCTTGAGATTCCTTTCTAAATTTCAATTTAAAAATAAAGACTAACACTGGAAGAAAACAACAACACAAGATTCAACATGTTTTCTACAAGAGACACAGTTCATCCACCAAGGCACAGTCAGACTTAAAGCAAAAGGAGGAAGAGTGATGCTACAGTCAGCAGGAGCCTGAAGGCAAACAGAGGTAGCTGTTCTTATCTCTGAGAAAACTGAGTTCAAATCAAAACTGTTGGGGAGAGAGGAAGAGGTCACTACATATTTACAAGGGAACAATTCACCAAAGAAATAAAACAATTATATGCACAGAATTTCGGTGCACCAAACTTCATAAAAGAAATACTATTTGACATTAAAGGACAAATGGAAGCCAATACGATCGCAGTGGGGCACTTTAATACCCCACTCTCAAAAACAGACAGGCCATCCAGACAAAAAATTCAACAAAAACATCAGAGTTAAACTCCACTATACATCAAAGGAAACTAACAGATACCTAGAGTGTTTCTTCCAACAACAATAGAATACGTGTATTCAACAGTCCATGGAACTTCCTTCAAAACAGTCTATATTTGCAGGCACCAGGATTTAGCTCAGTGGTTCCACTGACTGCCTCACAAGTGTGAGGTCCTGAGTTTGATCCCCAGTACAAAAAAAAAAAAAAAAAAAAAAAAAAAAAAAAAAAAAGAAGATAAAAAATAGTCTATATTTTTAGCCATTAAGCAAGTCTCAATACAGATAATGGAATTAAAATAATCTCATGTATCTTATCAAATCACAATGCCATGAAACTAGAAATCAATGGAAAAAGAAATCACAGAAAATACACACATTGCAATTAATACACTCTTGAATTATCAGTGGATATCTGAAGGAATCAAGGGAAAAATTTAAACATTCCTTCAAAGATCTAAATACTAAAATAAAAACAATCTGCTGGAAGATAGAATAGGTAAAACTCTTGAAGATATAGGTGTAGGCAAAAACATGAATGGAACAGTGATTGCACAGTAAATATCACAAAGAATAAGCAACTGGGATCACCTCCTATTAAAAAAACTTTTGCACAGCAAAAGAAACCACCAACAGAGTGAAGAGACAGCCCACAGAATGGGAAAAAAATTACCAGCTATTCCTCAGAGAAAGTACTAATACCTAGAATATATATATAGAACCTTCCACAAAAAACAGATCCTTCCAAATTTAAGACCCAATCCAAAAATGAGCACCTGAAATGAATAGACACCTCACAGATGAAGAAATAAAAACATCAATTAAATATATGAAAAAAGGTTCAACATCACTGGTCATTTGAGAAATGCAAATTTAAAACAACACTGAGATTCCATCTCACTCCAGAAAGAATGGTTATCATCAAGAAATCAACCAGTAATAATAAATGGTGGCAAGAGGAAAAAGGAAACCTTCTCAACCATTGGTAGGAGTGTAAACTGGTACAATCACTATAGAAATCAATGTGGAGATTTCTCAAAAACCTAAAACTAGAAGTTCTATTTAATCCAGCTTTTCTGTTTCTTGCTATCTTCCCAAAAGAGTTAAAAGCTTCATATCACAGTATGCACTTCCATAGTTATAGCAGGGAAACTTATAATAGCTAACTCTTGTGATCAGTCATATGCCCATTAAGAGATGAAAGGATAAAGAAAATGTGGTTTTAATATACAATGGAGTACTTCTCTGCCATAAAGAAGGGTAAACTCAACACATTTTTAGATAAATGGATGCCTCTCAAGACCATAATTTTAAGTGAAATAAATTAGACAAACATTTAAATATTGCAATGTTTCTTTGTATGAGAAACCCAAAGGTAAATAAGGACCAAAATGGAGGATAGGTATTGAAAAGTAGGAAGAAAATGTTCAAGTGGGAAGTGGAAAAAGGAGAGGGAAGGGGAAAGGAAAAATAAAGGAATAGATGTAAAAAAAGAATGGAAGGAGATAATAGAAACACAGTTTTTTAAGTGGAGAGGGGAAGAAAGATTAAAGGGAAGGCAGAGGAATGGGAAAAAAAAGGAATTAAGAAATTTAAATATTCCTAGAATTAAATGATAATGATAACATAATATACCAGAATCCAAGAAACACAAGGTAAGTAGTTCTAAGTTTATAGCTATGAATCCTACCTGGGAAAAACAGCAATCTCATATAAATAACTTTATGATGTATCTCAATGTTCTACAAAAACAAGAATAAACCAAAACCAAAAACAGTAGAAGGAAAGAAACAATAAACAGAGCAGGAATGAAATCGAGGTTACAGAAATGCAAAGACAGAATAAATCAAATACTAGTTTCTTTGAAAGAGAAATGAGACTAATAAGTCCCCAGCCAAATCTACCAAAAGAAAGAGAAGGTCCAAATTAAAAATATGAGAGAGACAGAGAGAGAGAGAGAGAGAGAGAGAGAGAGAGAGAAGCAAAATCACAACAGACAACACTGAAATCCAGAGGATTATCAGAAATTATTTGGAAAATTTGTACTTCACTACATTGCAGATAAAAAGAATTAGATAAATTCCTAGACAAATATATCCTACCAAAATCAAGTGAAGAGTACATGAAAATGTTTGAACAGATCAATAAGAAGCAACAAGATTGATGCAAGTATTAAAACTCTACAAATCACAACAGACAACACTGAAATCCAGAGGATTATCAGAAATTATTTGGAAAATTTGTACTTCACTACATTGCAGATAAAAAGAATTAGATAAATTCCTAGACAAATATGACCTACCAAAATCAAGTGAAGAGTACATGAAAATGTTTGAACAGATCAATAAGAAGCAACAAGATTGATGCAAGTATTAAAACTCTACCAACTAAGAAAAGCAGGGACTCGCTGTATTTACAGCTGAATTTGACCAGAATTTTAGAGAACTAACACCAATGCTCCTCAAACATTTTCTAGATAAAAGAAAAGGAAACCATGCTCCCAGTGTCATTCTACGAAGCCAGCAGTAAGCATATATATAAAACACACACACACACACACACATATGTCTATATATGTATATATATGTATGTGTATGTGTAGATATATACATACACATACATATATATGAAGACTCAACTGGAAAGGAAAAACTGTACATAATAGTACTGATGAACATACATGTAAAAATCCTCGTAAGATTATCATGAACAGAATTCAACAATGTGTTAAAAATAATACTCCATAAGCAAGTTGGCTTCATTGCAGAGATGCAAGAATTATTTAACATATATAAACGAATAAATGTGATACACTACATAAATGGAATGAAGGATAGAAACCACATGATCAACTCAATAGAAGCAGAAAGAACCTTAATTCAACATTGTTTCATGATAAGAAACTGATGAAAAATATCTAGAACAATCTTACCTCAAATTGATAAAAAGCCATATGTGACAGCTTCACTGCCAACATCAACTAAATAGGGAAAAGAGGAAAAAATGCATCTAAAATGAAGAATAAGACAAAGATGCTCATTTTCACTACTTCTGTTCAATATAGTACTTGAGACATTAATCAGAGTAATTAGGCAAGAGAAAGAAATAAAGACTTTGTTTCCATTTTTTCCTTTTCTTATATTTATTCCTTTCCTCTACCCCTTCCCACTTCCTCTTTTCCTTTGGACCTTTTCTTCCTATTTCACATTATCTACTATACATTTTGATCCTTATTTACACTTTCAGTATCTCACACCAGAGCAATGATTCGGTATTTACTTATGTGTAGCCTATTTATTTTGCTTAAGAGTATAGCACCATTGTATTTTAAGAAGAAAAATCTAAACCACAAAATACAGCTCTTACCCACTAAACTGATTTTCCAAAGCACTCATTGCTCCTACAATAATAGTCTCAATAGTTCCACACCTCAATCAAGAAGACTTCAAAGCACCGTGTGTTCAAATATCCTCTAAGGTGTCTACTACTACCTGGTTCCCGGGACCCTTAGCAGAGATGTGCTGACCTTTCTGATATTTCTTAATGACCTTCATCACAGGTGATTTCTTCTGTTGCCTCTTCTGAAGAACCCCTGCTGCACCTGTGGTGTGGACGCAAGGAAAATTACACACATTCCAAGAGTCCCCTCCTGTCGATAATAACATTGTATTACAAAACAAACACTGAAACACACTGTGACTTATATATCACACCTTGACATTTATTTATATGCACCTACAGTATGCTAATGGCTCTAAGTACATTCTTGGTTAATCTTCAGAGCCATTCAGTGAGGTTCAAATTATTCTTACTTACTAAAGGAATATACAGAGAGGTTACATATTTGCTGAAGTCACATGGAAAAAATGTGCAGAGCAGAGATTCACAAACAGGCAGTTAGACTTTAAAGTCTGCATTTTGGGCCAGGGATTTAGCTCAGTGGTTCTGCCACCTGCCTTGGAAGCACAAGGCCCTGAGTTCAATCCCTGGTACCCCCCCAAAAAAAATACACACACACACACACACACACACACACAGAGCCTGCATTTTATTCTATCATACAATCCTCCCTAAAAAATTTAGATTTATGTTCAATTTTTCCCATTAATTATATTTGGGCAGATTAAATATCTAACCTACCGTCACTAGGCATGTTCAAGGAAGGAGGCAGGGAGGGAGGGATAGAGGGGGAGACGGAGAAGGAGGGAGAAAGGGAGGAAGGGAGGAAAGAGAGGGGAATCTCCCCAGAAAAGAGAAGGAAAACAGTTTCAGGGACAAAGGGAGAAAAGAATTATCTAAGAATTTCAACAATACTGACATTTTGGATAAAGCAATTCTTTGTTAGCTGGCCAAGCATGTATTGACCATTCTGAGATGTTTAGCAAATCTCTTTCCTCTATCTACAAGATGCTGGTAGTATCCCTCACCTCTACATATGACAATTGAAAAATGTTTCCAGATAGTGACAAATGAATGGAAGGCAAAATCACCCCGAACTGATAACCCTTGCCCAAAGCCTTTCACTGAGAAAGAGATAAAGATCTGAGTGTGATGCTCCTCACTTTTGTAAACTAGGTTACATAGATTAGTATATGGCAATGATGGATTTTTATTTCAGTTGGGTAACCGAATATAGTTCTATAAATGACATTGAGATAATCAGCTCTCTTTAGAAAAAATGTTAGCTCCGTACCTCACAACACAACAAACCTAAATTCTTTATGAAATTAAGCATGAATGTGTGTGGAAAAGTGTGTAGACTATTTTTATAAATTTGGGGTGTATATTTCATTCTAAGTGAGACAACAAACACATAAATAAGGGGAAAATCTGACTGATTTAACAACTCCCCCAAAATAGAAAAACCTTCAAGAGAAAAATTTGACACATATACAGTATACAAAGAAAAAACACACGTATCCAATGTGTTGAAACAGACACTATATCCAGAGAAACGATGAAACAATAAATGATTGTTATTTTGAAAATAAATACATGGTATACAGGATTTAAAAAGTATATGTTCCAAAGATATGACTAGCTTTTTCAAAAGAAATATTAATTAAATTGGACAGTGATAACATGGGAATCTCACACAAAATATAATGAACATGGATAATAAACAATTGAAAAGTTGGCCATTAATGAGCAATGAAATTCAAATGAAATGATTTTAATTCTCCCGTGAAATTGACCAAAAATGAAAAAGAATGAGTATTTTTTTTTCAAATTTGGCAGTGATACAAGGAAATGAATATTTTCATAGATTACTTCATAAAGTATATGAACCCATTATTAATCATACTTTCCCCGTCAAACATTTTTTTCTCAAAGCTAATATTAGCAAGAACAACAGAAAAAGATAACCAAAGGGGCTTGATTGTCACTGCTCCTAGCAATACTTCCTACTGTAATCCTAAAATTCCTGTCACCTCCAAGGAGTTTCCCAAGTATCCTGGACACACCTTAACATGGACCACAAGGAATAGGTCGTAGAGTTTCCGTCATGTACATTCTTTGGGACTTGAAATAAAAACTGTTCTTTGGAGAGCCAGGCGTGGTAGTGCTCGCCTGTAATCCTAGCACTCAGAAGGCTGAGGCAGGAGGATTGCTGTGAATTCAAGACCAGCCTGGGCTACAGAGTTGAGTTCCAGAGCAGTCTGAACTACATAGAAAGAACGGTCTCACCTCCCCCACAAAAAAACCCCAAAAAAGTGTTCTTTGGGAAGAATCGATTAAAATTACACATACTTTTGACTTAATAGTGAAATAGCATGCCATTCATATATTGCATATTAAATTGTGTTATGACATCAGCATATCCCTCCACCTTGGGAAAAAGAAACAGAAGAAGATCACATTTTGATGTGTTCGTATAAATACAATGTTAATATAGTTTTAAAAGTTGTGAAGGAGATTTAATTTCTGGTGTTAAAACTAGTACTGAAAAGGAGATCAAAGGTAAATTTTATTTCTCTATATTGTATGAATGTGAGAATATGTTTATTTATTTATTTTGCTTTTTGTTTTTTGAGACAGAGTCTCGCTATGTAGTTCAGGCTGGCCTTGAACTCATGGTGATCCTTCTCCTGCCTCCACCTCCTGAGTGCTGGAATTACAGGTGTGCCCCACCACACCTGGCTTGTTTATGTTTATTTGTATATGTAGAGAAAAAGTAAAAGAAATTACAAATAATGGCAATAAAAATTTCAACAGGCTGATGTGCACTGCAGCACCTCATGCTAATAACTCTTTCAGGGAAAAATTTGAATAGCTAAGGTACACTCACCACAATATGAATGAGTTCCGCTTTCGCTAAAGTCAATTTAATAAAGGCTGGTGGTTTAGTTCGGATGGAAGGGCCTGTGTGGAAAGCAAGGTCTAATTGAAGCTCAATAAATACTTTTACCTGGCTTGACTAAAAGCTATGCTGCACTAATCGGAGTAGGAATACCAATGCCAGTCAACGGCCAGTGCTGAAGGTGTGACCCCCAGGTTGGTATTATTGGTATTTAGGATATCGATGGTGCACTCTTTAAGAGGATACTGGGACCCTAGCCATTTTCTTTTGTTTCTCTGCCCAGCCATGAGGTGAGAGTTCTGTTTTGCCATGTGTAGCTACTGAGATTTGCTGCCTAGTCACGGATCCAATTGCTAAGGGGGCCAATTTACCATGGATTGTACTGCCCCAGAGCAGTGAGCCAGGTAAACTTTTTCTATTTATAAGTTAGTTATATAGGTATTTGTCATAGTAATGGAAAAAACAGAGATATGTGATGACTGGCCCTGGAGAGACTTTAGGATCAGCTCCAAGGGTAACCCCACTATGACTGAAACTCTCAATGTCAAACTTGTAGGTCTATGTGTATTTTGGCATCCAATATTTGAAGGCAATAACTTACATATTGAGTCTAATAAGGTGTGACATAACATTTTCAAGGGGAGAGGCGTATTGACCAGGGTCTATTTGGTTTTTCATTTATTCATCTTAGTTTTTGTGATAGAAAAAGGAATGAGCTAGTTCTTGGGGCACTAGTGAAATAGAAGTACTTTAGGCACTGTAACAGTTGAGTAGTGATCATAGAACAGGATATCTAGATAAGGAACATCAGAAGTGAGATAATCCCTAGGTAATGAAAAGTACCAGATATGGCCATGGGTAGACGTAATGCAAATAGTGGGCTTGGGTACAAAGAAATAAAGCAAGGAGAGCGCAGAGCTTCCAATGATCATCAGGGGGATTACAGTGATTCAAGAGGATGGGTTTACAAATGAAACCTGAGACACAAATGTTAAAATTTTCAAGAAAAAAGAGACTCTCCAAGACATATAAAGGTGATAGGACTAGGGACACTGTGGCAGGTGGCATAAAGTTTTGAGGAAGAGATTTTCTAGTAGAAGAGAAGATGCATAGTTTCAAATGAATTAGAGCAGGGAGAATCAGCACAGCTCATACCCAGCCTGAAGTACTTTAGCATCTAAGAAAATGAGCACTCTCTACTTCAGATACAAGGGAAACTGTCCTACTCAAGAAAAACCAGCTCCCAGTGAAAGCTGGGAGATACAAGGGACAGTTAAGAAAGCAAAGGAAATAGAAACACTTGATAATCATAAGCGGGACTTAAACAGGGCACAACTGAAAGTTTTGCGAAGGATGAGAGGAAATGGTATGGAGTCAAATTGTGAAAAAATAGAATGCTACAGTGATAAGAGTTCAAGAGAGAAGAGGAGCCGAGCATGGTGGCATATGCCTGTAATCCCAGCACACGGGAGGCTAAGGCAGGAGGATCTCTGAGTTTGAGATCAGCCAGAGCTATTAAATAGTGAGTTCCAGGTCAGTCTAACGATATAGTGAGACCCTATCACAAAAAAAAAAAAAAAAAAAAAAAAAAAAAAAAAGA